CCTTAGCCCTTCTTCCACAATCCTTTATCCTACTACCCTGTTGCTTCTCAAACTATTACTCAGGTGAGTTAATGTACCCTTGTACGTGTTTTAAATCCAAAATTCAAAGTGTGTTCGAGATAATTTCGTGCCATCACTTACCCTTTTCGTGAGCTGAGTGTCCATCATGAAGTTGTGCACGTGCTTCTCGGCACGTGTCAGCTCCAACTTTCTAGAGACGACGGCCACCAGAAGGGCTGTGCACCCTGCACCCTTAAGGGAAGAGAAATATTAATAGAAATTGATATATGTATATATATATTGATATATATATATATTTATATATCAAATTAAAAAATAAAAATTTCCCTTGACAAACTTCAAAAAGATTTATCAGAATTCGAATAACCGTTTAGGAGAAATATCAAATCATACGTACATATAAGTATATATATATATATATATATATATATATTATAAATAAAATTTTTCTGTACTGTTGTATGATTTGATATTTCTCCTAAACGGTTATTCGAATTTTGATAAATCTTTTTGGAGTTTGTCAAGGAAAATTTTTAAGATGTTATGAATTATAAAACTATAGTAATATTGTAGAAATAAATGGCAAAAATTACAAAAAACACTTATCATTGTTTGACATTGAAAACATTTGCTAGAAATGTCAATTCACTGGAAATTTGAATTCAGCTGGAATTATAAGCCTAGGTAATATTAGAAAATAATATACAATCAATTTGCTCGTCAAACTAGCAAATTAAATAACTAGATAAAATAATAGAAAAGGGACTCTACTAACGAGCAAAGTAAATATCTAGATAAAAAAAAATGAAAAGATAAAGGAGAAAAAAAGAACTCTGGATTGATGAAAAAATAAAAAAAGGACTCTACTGAGGAGCAAATTTAAGATCTAAATACAAAATTAGAAAATGGATTCTACTGACGAGCAAATTTCATATCTAGATACAGAAGAAAAAAGGGATTAAATTACTGGATAAAAGAACGAAAAAGGGACTCTACTAACAAACAAATTCAAGATCTAGATAAAAAATGAAAAAGGGACTCTACTGACGAGCAAATAGATAAAAAAATGAATAAAGAGACTCTCCTGAAGAGCAAAGTAAAAATCTAGACAAAAAATGAAAAGATAGAAAAGGAAAAAAAGAACTCTACTGACGCACAAATGAAAGAAAAAGTGGTGTCCTTATATTGTCTAAAATGATATTTTACTAATTAAGTTAATAATCTAGATAAAAAATTAGAAAAGGACTCTACTGACGAGCAAATTAAATATCTACAAAAAAAAAGAGAAAAGGAACTCTATTGACAAGCAAATTAAGAAAACTTAGACTTTCGGCAATAATAATGTAGACAAAATACTATTGTCCACATTATTTCGGCAATAATAATGTAGACAAAATACTATTGTCTATATTATTATTACCTAAAGGCAGCTGAGATGTGCCAGAAATTAAAATAATATAAGATACAATATATGTTTGGCAGATTAAATTATATAATTCAGTTTGACACGTGTAGGAATATAAATGTACTTAATTTTTTTATTTAAGGGCTGTAATATATATTGAATAAAGGGCTGTAATATATATTGAAATCCAACCAAAGTATGTATATTATATATAATATATATATTTTTATATATATTATATTATGTGTCACAATGTTTGACCGCGATAGACTCCTAAACTACTGAACCGATTTTGAATTTTTTGACTCAACGTGTGCATTTATATGTAACAAAGGTTATAGACTATGTTCAAAATCTCTGTACATATTCAAAATGTTAATTTTCTTAACTATAACTATAAATCAGATTTTTTTTTCGACAATTCAAAAAATCAAGGGTTTTTGGCCAATATGATAGGAAATCTATATAATTAGAACAAATGATATCACTTATTATATTTGCAGTATCAAATTATTAAATGTCAAAATATTTTGTCATTCTTGAATTAAAAAAATACAAATTATAGTCAAAAAATTACATTAAGAGTAGTAAATTAGAAAAAAAAAAGAATTAAAACTGAGCAGACATTTGATTTTCTGACTATAGTATAGTGATCTATAAAATATTTTTTTAAAAAATATGTTTCATTTTTTGAATTTGTAGTAAAAAATTAAAACCTAATTCTACTTTATATTCATATATATATTACATAATATATATACACATAATATATATATATATATATATATATATATATATATATTATATATAAATATATATATATATATATATATAATATATATATATATATATATATATACATAAATATATTATTTTTTTAAAATAAGTTTTGCAGATGTTTTGAGTTTTTATTTGATAAATAGTCAGCGCATAAATTACCAAATTATTTTGTGAAACAATAAATAAATATATTATTTAACAAAAATATATATATGTCTAATATTTTGTTTTTTTTTGTTAATACACTAAAATGAATCAAATGAGAACTCAAAACTTCCGCAAAAAATACTAAAATACATTTGTTGAACATAAATTAGTTTTTTGTTCTTTTTTTTTCATAATCGTATGGATGCGAGAATAAAAAACTTTACTGTATTATAATTATATAATTTTTTTAACGTTATTTTAAAAATAAACTTTACAGACGTTTCTAGTCCTTATTTTACTCATCTTGTACATAAAGTACCTGAATCAAATATAAAATAACAAATATATATATATATATATTATATATATATATATATATGTGTGTATATATTTAATAAAAAAACAAATTATGCAATATTGTATCATTTTTATTAAAATATTTGTAGTTGTACTTTATGCATTGAAAATAACTCAAATGAAAACTCAAATGTGAAATTTATTATTCATTTTTAAATTTAACTTTTGATGAACTTTTTGATTTTATTAGAAAAATGAGTAATTAGATGGATTACAGAATAAATACTTTGTAAAATATATTTCATAAATAAGTTGATTATATGTACTTATTGTTTATTATTTTATTTCAGTATTTTCTAAATAAATAATTCAGATGATATTTTCTAAATAAATAACAAGATGAGTCAAAACGTTAATTCATTATTGTAAGTTTCTGTGATATTTTTTAATACTTTTAGAAGTTAATTTTATTATCGTGTAAAATAGCAGCAAATGAAAAATTCGCATTTCAACATATGGATTGAAATTAGTTAACCACAAAAATTAAATAAACTACAATGAACAAACAAAATTGAAAAAAAAAACCAATTGTCTTGCAAACATATCTTTTGCATATTTTTTAACTCAATTTTTAAAAAAATATTGTTGAATTGAACTGAATCAGATGAAGGGTAGAATTCCATTTCCAAATGTAGGTATCATATAAAAATTAAAAAAAAACATTTCTAAATATAGGTATCATATATAAATTCAAAAAAAAGAAACAGATCAAATTTCACTAACTATTCAAAATCAAAAAAAAATTCAAAAAAAAAAAAAACATTTCTATGTAGGTATCATATATAAATTAAAAAAACAGATCAAATTTCACTAAATATTCAAAATCAACGATAAAAATATTGTCTGTATTTACTAATAATTTTTATTTATTTATTGCAGGAAGAAATTGTAAATGGAATCAGATGAATAAAAAAATAACTGTATTATATATATATATATATATATATATATATATATACATATACATTTTTATTCCTATTCATCATTTCCCAGCATCACATTTTTCTTTACAGCTTTTCAAGTTGTAAATATTTTGTGTTCTTTCATAAAAATATATACACATTTTCTGCAATAAAAATCGGATTCGTTTTCTATTCAATTTCAATATAAATTATATATATATATATATATATATATATATATAAATAAATCTTATGATTTGAAATTATATACTATACTTTAATTGAAACTGATTTCTAGTTTATACAAAAAATGTAGAATAATTTATATTCTAGAGATTCTTTTCGCAACATGTGCAGAATGCAACTTTCTGCACTTTGTATAAATTGTAAAGCTGGTGCTGTCCTAGATTTATTTCAAACATTAAAACTTTATATGACTTGTTATATGAGGGAAACGATATTTTACGTGCCGGTGGAAAAACAAAGAGCTATTGCATTTAAAAAAAAAAACAACAAAATTTTTTGATCGGTTTTCAAGATACTCAAGAAGGAGCAATATAATTGCGCTTGATCTGCTCCCAAAAACAGCTTAAAAAATATTGTTTATGCAAGTGCTCCTAGTGTTGGATTTTATAAAATTCATGTTTATGACATTTACCATTTATTATTTACCATTTATTATTAATTACTTACCATTATGCCCGTACTGACCGCAATTCCTCGGCCGCAATATGTGTTCGGTACAATGTCACCAAAACCGACGCTCAGGAATGTTATGGCAATTAGCCACATGGCATTCAACAAATTTGCATGTTCCTCATCGTGAAACCTTTTTATCATCATAATAATAATAGTCAATAAAAAAAATTTGAGAAAAATAGACGAATTCCTTTGGGTTTTTGGTAACGCAATCTCTAGGCGGAGAAGTAGTTGATACTATACTTATATTAGATAGTAATAGTTCTTACTGTTATCTTACTGCAGGTTTAGAGTCATTATTATTTATTTGTTTATTTATTTATTCATAAGCAAGCCGTAATCAATAATAATAGATCTTATTTCAGGTTCATGTCAAGGGCTTATTATATAATACAAGGATTTATTATATAATAGAACGAATATAAATAAATTTATAATTGAGTTACATCGCCATTGATTTCTTTAGACAGATTGTAAAATGTAAATAAATTAATTCATCTTATAATAAGCATGCAATAATAAAAAAAACAAACTCAAATAAATGTGATATACATTCAAAAGTAGCAAATACATGCATGTGCATTAGAGTTTGTCGGTTTTCAAAAACCGGTTTTAAAAACCGTTTTTTTGGCAAAAATTATGGAATTCTAAAACCGGTTTTTAGTGAAAAAAGTCGGTTTTCACTGTATAAATGGAAAATGACAAATATAGCCAAATATAAAAGAAAGATGAAAGCGTTTTGATTTTTGAAATCATATCGGTTTAATAGCATTTGATATCTTATCAGTCTGCAATTATTCCCAGAAAGTTTTTGTATATAATAATTTAGATTTTTATACCAGTGTATATAATAATTTAAATCAGTGTGACTTTTTCTTGAAGAGCAACTTCTTCTGCTCAACTTATAATAAAGAGTTTTGAACCCCAGAAGCCACAATTAA